CCTCCCAGATTTGCTTTAGTAGCAAGAGATTCAAGAGCCAGAGCCATAAAATTAACCCAGACATTCTGATGAAAGATATGTGTACCATAAACAGTGTTTAAACTGCCAAGCTAGATATGTGAGCCTTAGAAATGTATGCCTATAGTCATCACCATATTTCATTGAATTTCCAATATTTTTGGTCACCATTCTGGTAAATATTCTTCTGCCCCTCTCCGTCCTTTGAGCAATTTATCGCCATGTATATTAGGCAACTTTAACTTATCCACAGCTTCCTGAGTCCCTGATCATATTCTTAAAATATATTTTAACTGTTCTATTTTGTGTGGATTCTCCTGTCATGTTATCCAGCATACTAATCTTTTCTTTCACACTGTTTTGACTTTTAATAACATTTATCAATATTATCCAGTGTATTTTTATCTCAGAAATTGCATTTTTATTTTCTAAAATTTAATTCATTTTCTAAACACACTTTTTTGCTAGCATTTCACATTTTCATCTACCTACCTTCTGAAATTTTAATATTATTGTGGTGACTATGTTAATGGTGTCATCTACTAATATTATACATGTATCATTTCTGTTGTAATTTTTGTCCATTTCATCTGCTAATGGATTACATTTTTCTGCTTGTTTGAATGCCCATGATTTTTTCATTGGTTAACAGATATTTCAAAATCTACTTTTTTAAATGCTGAGATTTTAAATATTTTGTATCTGTTTGTAGTGTAGACTTTTGTTTGCAGACAGTTAATTCATTTGGAAACAGTATAAAATTTCAAGCCTTACTTTTAATTGTTGGATTGTCATGATAAGGACAGTCTTAGGTTTAATATTTGGCCACTAATGAAGTAACAGTCATCTGAATGCTGTTTGATGTCCTACATATTACAAGAGTTTCTGTGATGGTTGTAGTAGTTGTTATTTTGATTTCCTTTCTAGTAAAACACACTGTATCCAAAACTTTATGAGCATTAATAATTTTTCCAATTGCTTTCTTCTAGAGCTATTTTCCAAAAGCTTCACCCGCCTTGGGCATGTGGTGTTCATAGGCATTTTCTGATAGATAATCACCTAAGGTAAAGAAAGATATGATCTACCAGTCTCTCCTGGACTTGCTCTCTCTACAACAAATGCCTGTACATTTTGTTCTTCATTCTTAGTGTTGACAGGAATCTAGTCAGTTAACTCTCAGTGTCTTCACACTTGAAAATGACATCACCATTTCCTCAACTCAAGGACATTTTCTTTTTTATTCAGATTGTGTAGTCTGGAAACTCATTTCAAGCAAAAAACTGGGGAAATTCTAATGCTAACCTTATTTTTACTCTTCCATGATCAGTGTTTAGTGCTAATGATTATCCAAAGCCAAGAATCTACTTGTAGTGTTTTGTACATTTGTTGATATGCTTAAGGCAGAAAATAAAATTCAGTTTTGTAATTTCACGATTGCCTGAAATAAAAGTATGAAACTCTGATCATACTTAAACTTACAGAAGAAGGATGGTTGAAAGTCACCTTGAGACAATGGTTTTTCAAAGTTTCTGTATCACTTTTATTTTCTATTAATGAAGCTGAAAATATCATACAAAGTAGAGAGGCTGGTTTCTTTAACTAAGGGAGAAGGTCTTCAGCCTCAGGCATCAAAAAATCATGGGAATATTCTTTTTTATTATTTGACAGGTAGATTTATAGACAGTGAGAGAGAGACAGAGAGAAAAGTCTTCCTTCCGTTGGTTCATACCCCAAATGGCCGCTACCGCTGGCGCTGCGCCTATCCGAAGCCAGAAGCCAGGTGCTTTCTCCTGGTCTCCCATGCGGGTTCAGGGCCCAAGCACTTGGGCCATCCTTCACTGCACTCCCGGGCCACAGCAGAGAGCTAGACTGGAAGAGGAGCAACTGGGACAGAATCTGGAGCCCTGACCGGGACTAGAACCCTGGGTGCCAGCGCCACAGGGGGAGGAGGATTAGCCAAGTGAGCCGCGGCTTGGGCCCCTGGGAACATTCTTCACTACAGTTTGTGTGGAAGTAAATATTCTTAGCTCGTTACTATGTAACTGAGTCTGCTACGCCCTAGAGAAGCCTCACTGCTGTAAGAACACCTTGAGGGCCCGGCGCTGCACTGTAGCAGGTAAAGCCACCTTCCTCAGCTCCTTCATCTCATATGGGTGCTGGTTCAAGTCTTGGCTGCTCCACTTCTGATCAGCCTTCTGCTGTGGTTTAAGAGAGCAGTGGAGGATGGCCCAAGTGCTTGGACCTCTGTACCCTGCACCTGCATGGGTGACCTGGAAGAAATTCCTGGCTCCTGGCTTCAGATAAGGGGAGCTTTGGCCATTGAAACCATCTGGGGAGTGAACCAGCAGATGGAAGACCTCTTTCTCTCTCTGCCTTTCTGTAAATCTGTCTTTCAAATAAATCTTTAAAAAAAAAGAATAACTTGAATCAAATTATCTTTAATTAATTATGATAGCAAACATACAACCGAAAAGGAAACAAAGTTGCTAAGCCTTTGCTGGACAAGACCTCTAAGCCTTTGTTTGAGTTTGCTGCACTTCCCCATCTCAGTGACTCAGTGTTTCCAACAATCTAAGATGGCCCCCGGGGGAGGTACCTAGCCTGACAGGAGACTTCCGTATTCATGGACAGTATGTGTCCTCAGCTGTGATAGGCCCTTGAGGGCGTGCCCGGCTCGTGTCCTGCCTTACCTTTCTGCTGGTTGGCTTGGTTCCCTTGTGCCCTGGGCAGCCCCCTTTCTGTGTCTATGAAAGCTCTTCCCCTCCCACTAAAGTTGAGAAGCCGGCTGCGCCCTGGGCATTGACTGGTCTTCCTGCTCTGGTGTGGTTCCTTTGCCGCCGACACTCATCATCCCGCTCGGCCCCTGAGCTCCCCAGGCTGGCCCTGAGGAGCGCTATCAGACCTGCTGCCCCGGGACAAGCAGCAGACCTGACAAGGGCTATCACAGTTATTGTTAGCTGAATTATTGGTAAAGTCATTTTACTCCAGTCTACTTATAACAACAGTAGTCTGCTAAAAGGTCTCCCAAATTCAAATTGTGTACTATAATATTCTCACCATGCTTTCTATAAATTTATCTTTTAATCCCATTTTCCTGGTGCTTTTTGAAGCTCAATAATAATTATTTACAATTGTTTTCTTTATTTCTGTGGGTTACTTTTAACTTTTTTTTCTTCTCTATTTCAATGATGAGAGGAAGAGGCAAGGGAGACAGAGAGGGAGGGGAAGGGAAGAAACATCTTCTGTCCACTGACTAGTTCACTTCCCAAATGCCCACACAACCAAGGTTGTACCAGGGCCAGAACCATGAGCCTGAAACTTAATCTAGGTCTTCTGTGTGGGTGTTGGGAATCCAATTATTTGCAGCATTACTGCTGCCTCCCAAGGTCTGCATGAGGAGAGCTGGCATCAGAAGCTGGAGATGAGTATCAAACCCAAGCACTCAGATAAGAAATGAAGGTGTCTCCACTGCTGGGCTAAATGTCTGCTTCTAGGTAGACATTCCACCTCTAGGTAGCCACCAAAGGCTTTGTATTCTTTCTAGCACCCACCAGATTTTAATTTTTCTCACACATAATTATTTCTTTATAAATTTTGATAAATTAAATTATATGGCATTATCTCTTTGCTGAAAACAATTCAAGGCCCTCTTATCTCTTTTAGAATAAAATAAAAATATTTTCAAATGTGAAATATCCTGTGTTATCTGTCTGCTTATTTCAGTGATCTATGCTTTGTCATTTGTGCTTTTATTATAGATTTTTTCAAATTAGATCAGTGCTTTTTATGATTTCATTGCATCTCATTATTTGATTACTAATATATACTTTTGTGTTACAAATTTATAATTATCTTTTATGGTATATGTCTTTAAATTACTTTCATCTTTCATTTTCTTCCTTATCCCTGTCTTAACACTCTGTTTTTGAAATAACATTAAGTGGATCTTTTCAAAATCAGAATGAAGTTTGGGGAGAAGATAAGGAGAAATAGACCCCATCCATCTACGGATTCACTCCCCAAGGGTTGGAACAATCAAAGCTTCGCCAGGTTGAATCCAGGAGCCAGGAACTCCATCTGGGTCCCTCATATGATAGGGTGACAGGGGTTCAAGTATTTGAGTCATCATCTGCCTCATTACAGGCACATTAGCAGGGAACTGGAAGCAGAGTAGCCAGGATTCTGATAAAGTGGCTTCACCTGCTGTGCCACTCAACTGGTCCCACCATCCTCCTTTCAGTAATGTCATGTCATATTGGGCTTAATATAAAAATTGGACACTACCATATTCCCACTTTTTTTTTTATACAGGTTCGTGCTTTTGCTGAAGGAAATCCTTCAAGGCAAAGGAAAATACATCCAGACAGAAATGTTTATCTACACCAAAAAGTGAACTGGATATGGTAAATAGAGGTATTTTTAAATTATTATTAAAGAGGTATATTATTTTAATAAACATTTTATTATTAAAAATGTTTTAATATTTCTAATTTAAAATAATTTAAAGGGAGTTGGTTGCTTAATGGAAAAATAATAATGTTGTACCACTCTTGCCCTTATTACTGTGAATGCATATTGACCTACATTCAGTGGCATGATCATGCCAAGAATTCACAACTGCAGGCTTAACTAGACAGCTTTTTCCGACTTCAGTTACTATATCCACACCACAAACACAAGCACTCATATACGTTTTTTTTTTCTGGGTCATCTTTTTGCTTCTAAAGCCTCAACCTAACTGAAAAACCTTTCAACTCATTTTATTTAATTAGCATCTCCAGTCAATACCCTTTCCTTTACAGTTTCCTCAGACCTCCTTCTCGTACTTTGTAATCATAGTTTGTAATTCTATAATTGAGTTGACACTTTTAAAGCTGTATCAGCCCTATATGTGCCATATGAATAACGCACCGTGCCTGTGATTGCTCATCGAGCAATTTTGGAATGTTCATTGTCCATAAGGCAATCTTACCTGAGGTAGTCTTCAAAAAGTCCTGGAAATAATGTTTCCAGCTGCTCTACATAATACATTTCATCGTGCGATGTTTAGATTCTCTTTCCTTTGTGTTCTGTTCTACCTGCACAATAAAAATCATAGAATAGGACAGCACATTTTGTTTTTAGCATGCTTTCAGAATCTAGAAGAAAAGTTACCATATCATTTTTTAAAGTCCCTGGAGCTTCTTTGAAGTGACCTGTCAACAGCTCTCAGTGTTTCAATACTTAAGGTTGTTTCTTGGTTTGTTGCCAGAGGAAGCACCACAGGGATTTACACTGCCAACTTCTTTAAAATACATATATATAGAACATTTTTTAAAAATACAGAGTACCTTGGAGCAATTCAAATCACTGTGTCACTTGCAATGGAAAGGCTGTGTGCTGATAGGTCATTATATTTATTTTTAGGGCCACTGATGATAAGCTTTGACAATCAACTGACTAGTTAACCTCCACAAGAGGATGCCAACAGACATAACAACCACATAGACTTATGTCAACACAGTTTTCAGTCAGTGGTGGCAGGTGATCATGTACAGACAACATGAAATCAGCAGCATAGAAATAGTTGAATAGAGTATGCAATAAGAAATATAATGAAAAGAAAATTCCCGTTTTTAATGATGATTTTTATGAGTACATGTTTTATGTATAGGCTTACAACAGAAATGCATTCACATACACATAATTCATATTTAATAAATAAATTACTATAGGATTTTAACAACAGGTTATGATATAATTCAATGGGGTTGTGTTCATCAAACAGGCGTCTAGACTAACATTTATACAGACACATTTCAGATGAGGTTATAGCTCATATTAGAAAAATCAGGAAAATTGGAACCTATTTTATTGACCCAGAACTTGGTACTATATTATTTTTATAACTTTGGATTACATGCAGTGTTTCTTCAGCCCAGACTCTACTTCTGCTTGAGAACAATTTCTTTCATCATCTAGATAATTCTGTGAGAAATGTATCTACCAAATGAAACTTAATCTAAATCAACATGCAAATTGTTACTCTGATAAATATTTTATTCTATAAAATACATTTTGAAGTAAACAGTTATTGACCTAAATTATTAATAAGATTGAAATATACAATCATGGTACCATCTAGAATGTTAGTGCGCAGGAAGCATCAAAGGTCATAGCTAAAATGAATTTCATTCCTTGTTGATATAGGACATTATTTATGAATTTTGCAAATGTATTAGGAATGCCTCATTTACAGTCAAAAGAATGTGTGCTAAATTCATATAGTCATTAATGTAAGTTTAATGCCCTGTAACTTCTGTATAAAATTTGGGAATATAGCTATTTGGTGTGGAAAAAACATAAGAGAAATATTGTTCTGGCATATATGAAAGACAACATAACAAATCCAAATCCAATTATTTTTATTGAGTATCAGTTTATAAGTGGCCCTGCTCTCCAATATTACCAGCACTTACTACATAAAAATGTAATATTTTCAGGGATCTGGTAACCGAAAAACCTCAAACAACCTAGCTTTTCTGATGCACTTTCAGCTATCTTTTCTTTGGCATTTCTCTTTTTATGTGAAACATTTCTTCAGTCAATACTACTTTCATGAAACACAGCCTCTGAATATCGAAGATTTCAAAGGAGTTAATCAGCAAAAACAAAAAATCTCTACCCATGTCATTCACCTTCTTGATTTTTTTATGTCGCTGAAATAATTTACCCAAACCTAAAGCAATCAGTATATGAAAGTTATCTGTACCCTCATGTTCATTGCAGCACAATTCACAATAGCTAAGATATGAAGTCAACCCAGATGTCCATCAACTGTTGATTGAGTAAAGAAATTGTATACACACACACACACACACACACATACATATACATACTATGGAATACTACCCAGCTGTAAAAAAGAAAAGAAATCCTGTCTTGTACAACAGGATGGTCATAACTGGGAACCATTACACTTAGCGAAATAAGCCAGTCCCTTCCTGGTCTGAGGTAGAGTGCCTGAAATGTCATGTATTGGAGGAAATAGACATTTTGAGAATTGATGATTCTTTCATAGCCCTCGTCTTTTCTGTTGAAGAACAGTGTTTTATTTTGTTTTGTTTTGTTTTTCTCTTTAAACTATTTGTTGAACTCTTTTACTTAGAGTAGGTTTAACTATAGAATCACTAAGTATACTGAAAATAGATCATTGTAAAAATTTAGAGTGAATCCAATGCCAGCACCGTGGCTCACTAGGCTAATCCTCCGCCTGCGGCGCCAGCGCACCAGGTTCTAGTCTCGGTCGGGGCATTGGAGTCTGTCCCGATTGCTCCTCTTCCAGTCCAGCTCTCTGCTGTGGCCCGGGAGTGCAGTGGAGGATGGCCCGAGTCCTTGGGCCCTGCACCCACATGGGAGACTAGGAGGAAGCACCTGGCTCCTGGCTTTGGATCATGCAGCGCGCCAGTCATAGTGGCCATTTGAGGGGTGAACCTATGTAAGGAAGACCTTTCTCTCTGTCTCTCTCACTAACTCTGCCTGTCAAAAACAATAAAAAATAAAAAAAAAGAGTGAATCCAAGAGGTAGGTAAAAGAAGTCTTGGAGCATGGGTGGGAGGGAGGTAGGGGAGGAAGTACCACTATGTTCCTAAATCTGTATATATGAAATATATGAAACTTGTATGACTTAAATAAAATTTTAAAAAATTTAATCTATGAAATGGATTGTATATAATTTAATTGCATCAATAGTAATTTAATATCCATACTTGCTCTAGTTCTACTAAGTTCTGTGATTTTATTATTCAGTAGTGCAAATATGAACACATATATTAAATTGATAATAGTGCAGCACTACCCACATTTAATAGACTTTATATTCATAATTGGAAGGTTTTGTTTAATGTATGCTTTCCAGAATTGGCTTCATGAGTTTTACTTTCTTTTTTGCTAGAAGAGAAAATACATTTTATTGATATATGTATGTTTCATAGATTTTTTTTCTCTTCTTAAATTTGTCTCAGTTCCTGAATATCTGACTTGCTTTTCCAAATTCAAATTGTGTCTCAAAATTTGACTGAAAGCAAAGCAAAGTACATCTGAAATTAAAAGAAATAAAAAAACAGTCCAATAAAAATTTGAGTAAAAAATCTAGACAAATCTAATGTCTGAATGGTTTCTCCATCATTCATTGTGATGCTCAGATCAGGGAGTATCTTAGCTTTTTTTATCTGCCATGCTTTTCAAGTTAGGTAGAATTTGTTAACATAGATGTTACTTAAAGAATATTGAAATTTCTGAGTCTTTTCAAATATATTAAATGAGATTAATAAAGTTACTCACAATTAAAATTTATGAAAAAATCAAGAACTATTTCTAGTGTCTCTAGTTGGTGCTTACATTTGACAAATAGTATTGTTGGTGCTAATTCTTTATCTTGATATCCAATTTTGCATGAGGCCTAAAGGAAGACAAATTACAAGGAAAAGTGAGGGACACAGTAACTTCAAAGATGGAAAAGTGTAAAGGGAATGAAATTTGCTTATTGTTTTATTACATGGGGTGAATGTGGAGCTAATGATTAACACTTTATTAATTCTAGTAAAATTTAAAGATAATTGATAGCTACTGAAAACACATACAGGCCGGCATCCCGGTTCACTAGGCTAATCCTCCACCTGCAGAGCCCACACCCCAGGTTCTAGTCCCGGCCGGGGTGCTGGATTCTGTCCCGGCTGCCCCTCTTCCAGTCCAGCTCTCTGCTGTGGCCCGGGAAGGCAGTGGAGGATGGCCCAGGTGCTTGGGCCCTGCACCCTCATGGGAGACCAGGAGGAAGCACCTGGCTCCTGGCTTCAGATTGGCGCAGTGCACAGGCTGCGGCAGCCATTTGGGGGGTGAACCAATGGAAAAAGGAAGAGCTTTCTCTCTCTCTCTCTCTCACTGTCTAACTCTACCTGTCCAAAAAAAAAAAAAAAAATACAGATAGAAAATAGAATCAAAATAGGAAAAGGAAATGAAGGAATAAAAAAAATATTTTATTAAAAAATCAGCTATAGAAGAGAAAGATATGTCCAGATAAATCCTTAATCTTCATATATTGAAAAAGGGAACTTCAACATTAGTATGTGATAGAATAAGTTTATCTGAGTTGTCATTGTTATTTCTAGACCACACCTGATATATTTAGGAGACATGGTGTTCATATAAATTCTCTAGGAAATAATACTGACAAGACAAAATTCCAGGGTTTATGTGTAAGCAAAGAATCTAAGTCAAGATTAATTGTCAATCAAGAAGGAGAACTAGTTCAATCATGTCACCGGATGATAGCAAATATTGTAAGAATATTTTGCACAACAGTGATGAAAAGGGATTTTACTAGTCAGGATTATCTAGGTAAAAAGAGACTAGGAACAGAGATGTATAATAAGGAATTGGCCCATGCAGTTATAGAGACGAGCAAGTTCAAATCTGCATTTGGTTCAGTGGTGTCTAGACGAAGAAGAGTCTGTAGCAAACTGGAGGTCTGAAGGCTGCCCGTCCATACGCCTAGGAAACCAATGGTGCAGATGAAGCTCAGAAGCAGTCTTCTGAAGACTGTTTATTTTTTTCTTTTTTTAACTGCAAGTGAGGCTAGATTTCTTTGTTCTGTTCGGATTTTTAACTAGTTTAATGAGGTCCACTCATATTATGGGAGGAGATTGCATAAAATGTCAATTTCACCCAAATCAGCCTTGCAGAAAGATTCAGAATAATATTTGACCAAGTACCTGGGCACCCTGTCCTCCAGTCAAATTGATGCATGAAATTAATCATCAGAGGTTTAACTGCTTTGGGAATATAAAACAAATAAAGCAAACTGTTTTAAGGAGTCCTAATGGGGTATAATGTCAGAGAGGATTAATGGGACTTCAGCATAAGGTTTATCCAAGAATTAGTAGAGAGATAGTGAAGAGTTTCTAACCATGCAGGTCTAAATTGAAAGATTTTTATGTTACTCCTATAACATAAAAGTTGTTATTAGAGAAAGTCTTGAAACCATAGGAATGAACTGTTTTTTTGTTTGTTTGCTTGTTTTTTTTAAGATTTATTTATTTATTTGAAAGGAAGAGTTACAGAGAGAGAGAGAGCGAGAGAGAGAGAGAAATAGAGAAACATCTTTCATTCGCTAGTTCACTCCCTAGATGGCCGCAATAGATGGAGCTGGGCTGACCTGAAGCCAGAAGCCAGAAGCCAGAAGCTTCTTCCGGGTGTCCCACATGTGCAGGGGCCCAAGGACTTGGGCCACCTTCTACTGCTTTCCCAGGCCATAGCAGAGAGCTGGACAGGAAGTGGAGCAGCCTGAACTTGAACTGGAGACCATATGGAACGGCGGCACTGCAAGCAGTGGCTTTACCTGCTGTGCCACAATACGGACCCCAGGAATGAACTGTTAAAGATGGTTTATATTATATCTAAGAATATAATGATACCTCCTTCCTTCCCTTATTCTTCTTCCTCCCTCTCTCCCTCACTTCCTCCCTCCCTCCCCCCTCCTTCCTTCCTTCCTTCCTTTCTTCCTTTCTTTCTTTCTTTCTTTCTTTCTTTCTTTCTTTCTTTCTTTCTTTCTTTCTTTCTTTCTTTCTTTCTCTTTATTATTTTTTGCAATAACATTTTACGTTTTTAGTTACAGGTTTACTGCTCCAGTGATTAAAGAGTTCAACAAATAGGGGCCAGCACTGTCCATAGTAAGCTAAGCTTCTGCCTGCAGCGCTGGCATCTCATATGGGTGCCAGTTCATGATCTGGCTGCTCCTCTTCTGATATTGTTCTCTGCCAATGGCCAGGGAAAGCAGTGGAAGATCGCCCAAGTCTTTGGGCCTGAGCACCTGCGTGGGAGACCTGGAAGAGGCACCTGGCTTCTGGGTTCAGGTCAACTCAGTTCCAGCTGTTGGGGCCATTTGGGGAGTGACCCAGTGGATGGAAGGTCTTTCTTTCTGCCTCTCCTGCTCTATGTAACTCTACCTTGAAAATAAATAAATAAATCTTTAAAAAAATTCAACAAGTAAAAAGTAGAAAGGACGCAGTTCAGTTGGTATATAAATAAGAACTACATGAAATCTGTTCTCTATATTAATAGAAAGCAAGAAAGAAAAGGAAGGAAGGAAGGAAGGAAGGAAGGAAGGAAGGAAGGAAGGAAGGAAGGAAGGAATGACAGAAGGAAGGAAGGGAGGGAGGGAGGAAGAAAGGAAGAGAAAACAAACCTTGAATTTCGACCTACCTACAGCAGAGTCCTGTGCCTGTGTGTGAATTCTCAGGGGTTCCTCTGCTGCACTCGCTTGGAACCAGGGCCTACCAACAGGACTTTCCTTCCTAGAGAACAGAGGTGATTTCTCCACCTCTTTCTTCTTTCCCTTCTTTGTCACTAGTGCTTCCATTTGTGCTGTAGTTACACATGGAGTTCCTTGAAGAAGCCAGTGCAAACATGTAAGCTTTGGCAGGCTGGCTTAGCAGGTGGAGAGATGAAGAGCTTGTTTGGGTTTTAGGGAGCTCAGGCATCTGAAAAGGATTCATGTGAAGGTGATGAAGGCAAACAGAGAGAGTAATAAGATAGCCAGGATGTGGCTCTGGAAAAGGGGTCCTACAACTTACAAAGGTGACACTTCAGGCTGGAAGTCAGTTTCCATTGTCCTGCATTTCCTGTGCTCACCAGAGAATCCACAGTCCTTTCAGTTCTGGGTTGTGTCCGAACCACCCCAGTGGGAGGGAAACTGTCTCTCGTGGGTCCTGGAAAACAAGAGATAAGTTAGAAGTGCTTGAGATGAAGTTGAGTCCAAGACAGAGGAACAATAAAAGAGCAAAACCAACAGGGTGATGACCCCAAAGTATTATATCTAACTATATCTAAAAATGTATCTTATTACATGGCTAACATGGCTTTTTTGTATATGAGAATTTAAGTGAGCATCTCTGAAGTTGAGTTTCTTATGTGACTGATATAGTTTACATTTTCTATAAAGACCAAGTAAAATGTTTGCCTTCACAAATATTTGAAGATTCCCTTATTACTAAAAGATAAAATAATGAGCATGAACTAATTTCCAAGTTAGCTGAGGAAAAAGAATCACACTGCTTAGTATTCAGGTAATGTTTTTTGGCAAAATATCAATGGTAACGTACCTTTGACACAGTACTTATTATGCTTAGGAGTATGCAAGTATGTATGTTTAAAAATGCAGAGAGATTATTTTTTATTCACTTAATTACCTAAACATCAATATTCTAACAGAATGCAACATGTGCATGTGTAATGCATAATTTTTAAATTCCATTTTTTAAATTTTTTTAAGATCTATTTTTATTTACTTTAAAGAGTGTCAGAGAGAGAGAGAGAGAGAGAGCGCTAAAGACAGGGAGTATGAGAGCTTCCATAATCTGGTTCACTTCCCAAATGGCCCTAACAGCCAGGCATGGATCAAGTCTGAGCCAGACCTGATTCAAGATCCTGGAACCACCCCCCACCCCCAGGTTTCTCACATGGGTAGCAGGGGACAAGTGCTTGAGCTATCTTCCAATGTTTTCCAAGGATCATTAGTAGGGAGCTGGATCAGACGCAGAACTGCTGGGACTTCAACTGGTGCCTCTATGAGATGCCAGGATCACAAGCAATTGCTTTATGGTGGACTCCAAGAATTACAACCAAATGGAAAACACTAAGGAAGAGTTTCCAAAGTTTTGCCCTGAGATACATTGCATTAAATATTTAGAAAATTGATTTGCAAAGAGAGCACAAGAGCCTCAGTATCTCATTTTTAAGATGAAGATAATATTGTGTCGCAAACTCACTGTAAATATTAAACTACTTAAGCTTGAAAGAAGCTTACAAAAGAATTTTGCCTACAGTAAGTTTTCAGTAAATATTGGCAGTCATTTACAATTGTTTTCATGATATGGTAGTACTTCTCTAATCTTAACACCCAAAAAATACCTACCATCTCAACATGAAATCACTGCTGGTGTTGAAAGCTATTTTTACTGCTAAAAACAAGACAAAATTAATTTAAATATGTGCTACAGTGAAGCAGAGTTGCTTATACTGATGATTCTATAGCTTTGAAATAGCTTGAGCTATAGAACAGTCTGAACCTTGAACTATGATTCAAGGCAGAAAGTCAGCCTGCTTATTCAATGTTTTGTCTGAATGACATGAGAAGATTAATTGGGAAGAGGAGTGATTAAAGCTGATTTCTTTTTGTAAATTCACCTAAAGGCAAAATCAATGAGCACCTCTTATTAATAATAAGAACTGATAAATGAATAAATAGTCACTTACCTTTTTGAAAGAGATTTTGTGTGTCAGCCTACAGGTAGTTATCATTCAGGTGGTGACAGATTGATTCATGCAATGAAAGCTTCTAATGCTTCTAATGCATGTTTTTGATGCTCAGCATATAACTCAACCTGTTTCACTTAATTTTCAATGAGCAAATTAATGTTTTTTTGTGCTAATGTTATTAGCGTAGAAAGGTCCTAAAGAAGGGCAAAGCAACCAGAGTTTATTGAACTTATAAGAAAATGGTCTGAAGTATTACTACTGAGAAAGCCTCATTACCATGTTAAGCATAGGAAGAAATGAACTATATTAAGACCTGTTTCCTGGTTCCAAAGATCTTTTCTTTTCCCTAATGGGTAGTTGATGTTTAGTATAACCCCAAGGACATTTTTATGAAAGCAAAACAAATGTGATTCATCTATGCAGGAAAATATGAGACACCCCATGGGACAGTGCGAAAGGTGAAAGTAAATGGCCAATGTCTCACAGATTTTAATCTTCTTTTCGTTTTCTCTTATCCCTATTCATCTGTCATGGTAGACACATTAAGAGTGAGCATTTAGCTTAATGGTACAGACACACACACACACACACACACACCAATTAAAGTGTCTGGGTTTGATTCTCAGTTCTATCTCCTGACTCCAGCTTGATCTCAATACAGACTCCAGGAGAAAACAGAGATGACACAAGTACTTGGGATTCTGCCACTCATGTAGAACACCTGGACTGGGTTCTTGGTTCCTGGTTCCGGTCCTGGCAGATCATAATTATGCAATGAATGTAGGTCAATATGTATATACAGTAATAAGAGTGGGACCAGAGTATTATTATTTTTGCATTAAACAACCAATTGTATTTTTTTTTGAATTTTGTACCCGTACATTTTTATAAAGCCCCACATCTATTGTCTTGCTTTCTACTGGCATGAAAAGGTTTATTTTTACAGATACTAAAAGAAAATGTGGCCTTGTACAAAATAAATGCTCAATAGAAGGTATAATCTTGACTTTTCTTCTGACCCAGGCTTAGATTACAGATTTGGCACTTTTCACTTGACGGGGTGTAGCCATTTTTGTGAGGATAGGAGTCACAATATCTTCTAATTGTTGTCTCTGCTCAAAGAGCTCATTAACAGAAGCATCCGCGTGGGTTTCCAACCATTCATTTTTTGCACGGCATGCATTGAGGATGGTATTCTTATCTTCCATAAAGAGCTTCCCTGGTCCCTTTTCAGTGTCAGTAACAGCCAAAGTGGCCTTTGCGATATATTTTTTCAGAGCCAGCCTTGCATCTGCCCAGTCCAGGAATTCAACACACTCCGTCTGGGAATACCGAGCTGCAACATCTCGAGCTTTTTCTTCACGGAAGTTCAAAGCTTCTATATCGACGTCCAGTTCCACCAGGGCTTTCAAAGTTTCCAAACAGCCCCAGGCTGCAGCACAGTGCAAGAGTGTGTACCCTCTGGCAGTTTTCTCGTTCAGATTCACGCCATATTTTGCCAAGGCTCTAATAATGCCACTTTGCCCAGCCATGCAAGCTGCATACAACAAATTTCTCCCGACAATGTCTTCTTGCAAGACTAGCTGCATGGCGTGTTCATGATGAGGATTCTCAGGATCCTCAAAGATCTCCTGCAAACCTTCGACATCCCCTGTGAGAGCAGGCTGTAGGAGAGGGTTCACGGTGCTTGTGGATTCTGATTCTGATTCTTGATTATCGTCTTCATGAGATGAAAAAAATACTGATTTTTCTGAACTCACTGATTCTGAGGGTCCTTCTGGCTCCATTAATTCCACAATTACCTCGCCGGCCCGAGGCTCCGCCGTCACCGCGGCGACGCGTCCCCAGCGCATGGGGAGGTGCGGGGCGCGCGAGGGGACGCGGGGCGCACGGGGAGGTGCGGGGCGCGCGAGGGGACGTGGGGCGCGCGCAACCAATTGTATTTTAAACATGAACCAATTGGTGGGAACCCTCGTATTCTGTTTGCTTATATGTATCTCAAATAAATAAAAATGTTTAAATTGACACGTTGGTGTAAGTTCTGTATATTATCCTCACATATAATAACAAAAATATGTATCCCGTTATGTACATATATATGAAAAATATATTTCCACATATTTTATGTAAATGACAGTAACATGAAATCAGATAAGTAACTGACTTAATTCAGACACTTTGAGATCTTGATTTCATTCGCAATTTAGGACTGAACTATATTAAGATATGCTTCCCATTTCCTGGTTTCGATCATTAGAGGATTCTATTGATATTATCTTAAGTTCAAATGATTCTAAAATACTAAAATAGTGTAGAATCCATAGACCTCACTGTCGCAAAATTATGTGGACATCAAAGATGAAGCAGAAATAATTAGGCATGTTCCACTTCAGGAAACTCACTCCCTGTTCACAATGGCATAAAATAATGTTGGAAACTAATTGAGGTTGAAATCAAGTCCTCAATACCTGCAAATTTCTTACAGTCTACTTAGTCATTGATGTGATTAATGCTTAAGACATATATGATTTGCTATTGGAAATTATGTTAAAATTTTATTAAACATAGTTGTTTTTCCTGGGGAAATAAATATTGAATTCCTAAAGATTTCTCAAAGAAAAGTGATATTTTTAATAAGCAGAGCTACAGAAAAAAATGTGTATGACAATTTGAATGCTTAATCTGATGTTCATCCATCCAAGAAAAGGTATCCCCTCAAGGATTGGAAGTTTGCATATAAAGTACTTCAATGAGGTGAGAAACAAAAATTTAAGTTTAAAAAGTCAGCCCTTTGGATATTAACCTTAGCTGTGAAAGTTGATGCCATACGAACTCAGAAAGTGATGGAACAGAAAATAAATACATTAAGAAAACACTGCGATGTCCAGGGAGGCACAGAGGAGATATGAAATGTGTTAATTTGGTAACAAAAATCAATAACAGTAAAAGTAATACACAAAGAAGCCGAAGAGAAGAGAGATTTTTAAATCCTCAGTGGAGGAATAAGCTACACATAGCAAGACATGGATGGATGGTTTTGAATACTGCAGAGCTAGAAGTAGGATGGACAGAGAGAACACATTGGACTTGACAATGAAGTGACTGAGATTTAAGCAGACAGGAGATATCAGAGAAATTGATTAAATGGAGCTGACTGTGAATGATGAAAATGGAAATATTATATAATACTTCTTTTCAGAAGCTTAGTAACTTGCAGGAAGTAGAACAGAAAGTGTATTCAAGGAGAAGGAAGACTTAATTATGTTTTCAGAATGTTTGAAAATGTTTGTAAACAAAAGTAAGATGTCAAACAAGAGGAAGTTTTCAAGAGATTGGGGAAATTAAGCAATTAACAAAGTGAAGTCCCACAAAAGGGAGAAAGAAACAATACAACTTATGGGGATGTATGGCTTCACAACAGGGTTGCACACAGGAAGAAAAAGCATCTAAAAGAAATACATTTATTCAACAACCATTTTTCAAGCACTTGTCTTGGATATATATTTCCAATTTTAATTAAACATGTATTTACTTTATTATTCTCCAAGGAAATAAACACTCACTACTAAATGTTCTACAATAAATGCTTGATTTAGATATTTTTTTCAGAGAAGGAAATTTCTCAATCTCAAAAATTTCTACCAATTTTCCACCTCTAATTTATTGCTCACTCATTTTTCTTTAGCCAACCAACAGTTATCAAACATTTGCTACTTTTCCTGGCATAAAGAATAAAAAAGATGAGGAAAACAGGTAAAATTTCTGTCTGTAATAATAATACATAGGTTTATTAGAAAAATGATAAGCATGTGAAAAATCAGAAAATAAAACCAATATTAGGTTTTTAAGGCATTTGAAAAGAGAGTTAGCCACATATATTCAAACATAATATGGCTGACAACCACAAGAAAACTGTATTAACTAATAATTCTCAAAGAAGAATGAAAAATGCACAAAATATTAAACAAAAAAGCAGGTTTTCTGGAATGTATGAGTAAGAATTAAGTTAGTCTAGAGAAGGCTGCACTGGAAGTGGAGCTGTGGCCAGAATGTGTCAAATATGAGCTGTCATATTAGAAATACTTTGAATTTTTGAATTTTGAATTTTGAACTTTGAATATTTTGAATTTTGAAGATGTGGAGAACAGAGGGGCATCAAAAATGATACCAGGTTTTAATTACACAGCTGCATAGATAGTGATTGCATTCAGTGATTTGGACATTGTATGCTGAAGATACTTGCTAGGAATAGACACAAAGAAGAGGATATGGAGGTAGAATGTTGGTGACTACTGAGGGAATTAATGTGGCCAAAAGAGACTGAGGAGGGATAGTGGGATAAAAAGGAATGTGTAGTTCCACAGAAAATAGAATACAGTGCTTGTCGAGGGCAAGATGAGAAGTGGTAATCCTTTCAAATGCCACTGGGACATCCACAAAAATGAACATAAGGGATTGACTCTTGCCTTAAACCTATGAATCATCTATAAGGCCTGTTTCTATAGAAACATGTACAATGCAGTCCACTTAGAGACAGATTAGGATAGAATGGGAAAAAACTAAACTGAGAATAGGAGGGTTGTTCAGAAAGTTCATGAAAAATGAATATTATGAAAACTATGAGGGGATTTAAACAATGTTTTGCTCCACTATTAACTTATTTTTAATTCCACTTTCCACCAACATAGTGGAGCACTCTGAGGTAATTTAATGTTTCTAGTGACTCTTTACTTGAGTAAGTCGAGTCCCTATTAAGAGAGTGGTAAATATACTTTGGGCTGAAACAATTCAAGGACATCTGAAACACTTAAGACATCAAAATTAGATAAGGCACATTAGATAAATATCATATGATTCCATTTATGTGTAATAGTCCCCCAAAATTGATACCATACTCTCTTTTTTGCCAGTCTTATTTTTTATTTAATAAATGTATATTTACAAAGTGCAACTTTTGCCTTGTTGTGGCTTTTTCTCCATAACATCCCTCCCAACCGCAGCCATCCCATCTCCCACTCCCTCTCCCATCCCACTCTTCATCAAGATTCATTTTCAATTATCTTTATATACAGAAGATCAACTTAGTATATACTAAGCAAAGATTTCAACAGACTGCACTCACACAATCGCACAAGATATAGAGTACTGTTCGACTAGTAGTTTTACCATTAATTTCCATAGTACAACACATTAAGGACAGAGATCCTACGTGGGGAGCAGGTGCACAGTGACTCCCGTTGTTGATTTAACAATTGACACTCTTGTTTATGGTGTCAGTAATCACCCGAGACTCTTGTCATAAGCTGTCAAGGCTATGGAAGCCCCTTGAGTTCACCAACTCTGAACTTACTTAGTCAAGGCCATATCACAGTGGAGGTTCCTTCCTCCTTTCAGAGAAAGGTGCCTCCTTCTTTGAAAGCCCGTTCTTTCTGCTGGGATCTTGTTCACTGAGATCTTTCATTCAGGTTGTTTTTGCCACAGTGTCTTGGCTTTCCATGCCTGTGAGATTCTCATGGGCCTTTTAGCCAGATCTGAATGCCCAAAGGGTTGATTCTGAGACTGGAGTGCTGTTTAGGGCATTTGCCATTCTATGAGTCTGCTGTGTGTCTTGCTTCCCCCACAGGATCATTCTCTCCCTTTTAATTCTATCTTTCATTATTTGCAGACACTGGTGTTATTTGTGAAATCTCTTCAACACTTAACCTATCTTTTTGATCAATTATGTACTTAAACTTATCACTTTAACAAGTGAGCTGGCATTGGTACATGCCTCCTTGATAGGATTGAACTGGAATCCCCTGGCACATTTCTAGCTCTACCATTGGACATAAGTTCGAGTGAGCATGTGCCGACCTGTATATCTCCTCCTTCTCTTATTCCCACTCTCATGTTTAACAAAGATGACTTTTCTGTTAATTTTAAATGCCTAAGAATAATTGTGTATTAATTACAGAGTTCAACCAATGGTATTAAATAGAACAACAACAACAAAAAAAAAACATACTCTCAATCTTAGACGTCATAAATGTAGAGAGTATAACAGTAGTTACCAAAGGCTGACATGGTTAGTGGGAAATGAGAAATGGGGACAGGCTGGTCAAATGACTCATAATTATAGTGACAGAGGAGGAATACATTTCAAGATATCTCTTTGAAGGAAGGTTACTACAGTTGTATGCTCTCACCACAAAAATGAAAATCCTTCATGATAATCTATACTATTTACCTAGTTCAACCATGCCATAAAACAACCGTGTTGTACACAATAACACATCCACTGTTATCTGTCCATTAAGAGAGATAAAAGCTACAAAATGTGATGGAGTTAAAAAGAAGTGATACATTGTATGAAAGTCAAGAAAAATTTTCACATAAAAATTTCCAGTTAAGATAGGCCTTAAAAAAAATGGATGCTGATTTAATTATTATTATTATTTTTAAAGATTTATTTTATTTGTTTGACAGGCAGAGTTACAGAGAGAAGTAGAGAGAGAGAGAGAGAGAGAGAGAGAGAGAGAAAGAGAGGTCTTCCATCCACTGGTTCATTCCCCAGATGGCCAGAATGACCAGAGCTGCACCAATCTGAAGCCAGGAGCCAGGAGCTTCTTCCAGGTCTCCCACATGGGTGCAGGGCTCCAAGGACTTGGGCCATTCTCTGCTGCTATACCAGGCCAAATCAGAGAGCTGGATTGCAAGAGGAGCAGCTGGGACTAGAACCGGCGCCAATATGGGATGCTGGAGCTTCAGGCCAGGGCGTTAACCCGCTGCACCACAGCACTGGCCCTGGTGATTTAATTATTAGTAGTTAGAAATAAGTGTATTGTGGTTGAAAGAAATATACCTCATACCTCAGAAAACCATTGATATATCAATTCA